GACCATCCTTTAAAAATGTCACGTATCTTTGAATTCACCGGTCTGTTTTTCCCTGCAAGGTTCTTCACATCAGCTTTTTTATCCTCAGAGCCGGGTACTTTCATGCAGTAATCCAGGAAACCATTGGATCTCATGATCTCTGTATAACCCTTCTCACAGCCACAGACTCCACCCTATAGCATCCAAAATAGTTTTATGGTTACACGGTGATGAAAAAGAACAAGGTAAAAGTGGGAATCACTTAATAATGTGTGTTATGGCAATTGGGGGTTTTTCAGCAACAGAGTTGCCCAAGAGATGAAAAACTGAGCAGTTCCTTTTTGTGAATTCCAAAGTCAACCCTTAAAAACATCATCAGATTTTTCTATAGGTTGACAATTCTCATGCCTTCCAGGTATTCTTTGTCTTTTCTCTCTTACAGAGATTTTAAGTCATTTAATCAAATTATCCTACACTCTTCCCCCACCTGTTTCAAATTCCTGCCGGCTCACTTGAACCTACTGCCCTTGATGCTGAGAAGTAACGCAACAGGGATTATGTACCAGCGCCTTTGGGCTTTGTGCTCTTTGATGTCTGTTGCCGAGATAGCCGCTGAGTGTGGCTTACCACCTTCGACCATTGATCCCTAACTAGTCTGAACTACCTCTCTGCTTGCAGGCTTGGTTCTGCCCTCAAGGAGGGCAGCCTAAGTGGAGGAAAAAAAAAGACTTCACCAAAGGCACATGTCCCACATTCTTCCTTGGAGTACCCTGAGTGTCACACTACAACACATTCCTAGCTAGCATTGTGACAATGTGTTCTTCATGTTTCTCTGTGAATTCCTGGTCATTTTCATGTCAATAAACCTCTCCAAGGTGCTGGCTAGGGTGAAATATAACAAGGATTTCCTTCTGTCTCTTGAAGTGAAACTGAAAATAATTGCTCTTCCGTCGTCCAGGAAACACAAAGACAACAGAGAAGAATAGAACAACTTAAGCATAAAATTATGAATCTGTAGGACTTTGCTGTAGGGGCGCCTTACCTGAAAATATATGGCATTTTTTGAACAGACCCCAGTCTCACATAGCCACTCAAGTCTGTGTGATTCATCAGGATCAATACATTTGGGTCATCGAATTGTAACACATCAATTTTAAGGAGCAACAGATACTAAAACTAAGGGGACCACCTCAATCTTCTACAAAAGGAAAAGGCCAGAAAAATAGGGTAAAATTAATGCCCATTGTTTAGTAAAAGGCAGCATTCCTATAATGACATCACAGCATTTCAAGATATTACATGGTGTCAATAGAGAGCTGATTAAGACAATTAAGATCACCTCCAATCTAAGTGAAAAAGCTGTAACCAATCACATGTGCCAAAAGTTCAAGGCAAAAGGTTTTTGTTTTATTAAAAAGGGTATCCAGACACTTGGTGGAAAGCTACACCTTCTACTTTGCAAACATGATTAGCCTATGAAGTGGTTGCTGACCTCTTTTCTCCTCTGTAAGCTTAGGTACTAGCTTTTCTGTGGTATAGAATTAGCCCACCTTGAAGTGAAAGAACCATAAAATAGGATTGAGTGCTTGAATTATTTTTAACCAGATCATTTTTGGAAAGAGCACATAATAATAAACCTGTTTCTTTAAGGAACATGACATAATTTTATATATGCACTGATCATTATGAGTGCCATTGATTAGAATACATTGCACATTCTGCATTAATTCTAGAGCAATGGTAAGTGGGAGTCAAGGGAGAAGAACGGAAGAAAGAGTTCTGCTTTAAAAAAATGCGTGCCCATATGTAATTTTTCCTCATAGGCAAATATTTAACTTATTTTAAATGAACTGAAAATTTACTCATACTAGTGTAACCAATTTAATAAATAATTAGCAAATATGAACATTGATAAGATCTTTCCAAATAGTTTGGGTAGATGAAAGGCTAATAATGAAAGAATAAATCAACTGAGGATATTTATTGATAAGCAGAGCTAATATGAATTAGCTATCTGAAAGGCAGATTTGGCTATAGCCTTAAGACATGGCCCTATTTAAAAAAAAAAAAAATTCCTTAAGAGCTGTGATTATTCCTGCAAATTCCTCTAGAGGGTACCGTGAGCACATGAAACTGCTGCTATAGTCTACTGGAAAACCCACAACAGCTTATGCAGAAGACAGCAGGTAAAGGTCTAGAAGTCTCCAGCACAGGACTCACCTGTGTACAGTAGGAGAAAGGTTTTTTGCAGGCTGGATTACACTGCCGGACCGCAGCAGGACGTGCCTGAGGGGAGCAGCCTCCTACAAAACAAAACAAAACAAAACAAATAACAGAAAAACCCACCATCATTTGTGGACTTTTCTGGGCTAAACATTAAAAAAAAAAAAAAAAAAAAAAAAAAACTGTTTTCCTCTCTTGCTACTGTGTAACAGTAATCTTTTTTATATGCATTTGCTGACACATAGGCCAGCTGTATTTTATTGATTAGGAAGAACTGTTCAAGATGGGAGGCTCTGCTAACAAGATGGGGGCAGTAGTTTTTACACCTGCTCATTGGCAATGTCATTCTAGCATATGGCTCTGCTTGAGGGCCACATCTATGTGCCAGGCCAGGAAAAGAATGGATGAAATTTCAACTGAAGTTCAGGAGCCGAAAATATATCTGCTCAAAGACTCAGTCTGTGTATATTTTTCTCCAGTGCCTGACTACCTCAACTAGGCAATAAGCCAGTTGGCAACAATCAATGCTAAAAGAATGCCACGGCTAGATTTATGGACCACAGTCGCAAACTCCTTGGTAAAACTTTAAAATGTATCTTAACCAGAATGCATACACACACACACACACACACACACACAGAGTCACATATGGAGCTTGACACATTTTTAAAAAGCAAATGTATAAGCTCCAGGAGAGGCGGTCATACATCTGATACCATACTTGCCGCTATTAAATATTTTTGAGTAAATGCATGGAATAATGTCTATACTCTACAATAATTTACATAGTAGCCATGCCTTTCAGCATTCGGGGACTAGTCTAAGAACTTGATGTATTTGAGGGCAGTATTTAAATTGTATTTATGTAATACTGGTTTCACTTATAGATTCCAGCTTTTGCCTTACTATATAATTGTCACCCAATTATAGTTTATGATTTGGTAGCTAGCAAAAAGGATGGTGTAGGAAACAGATTTTTGTTTTCCCTGTGAATGAAGAAGCTAAATTCCTAGTGTTACTGAAAGTATAAAAATCCCCACAGGGAAAAAAAAAAACCAAACCCCCCTAAAATCCAGAATTATACCTATGCGTGAAATGGATAATTTGGACATGGTTTTGTTGCTACCCATACTGCTTGGGGGGCTGTTTCCACTCTTTTAACCAGTGATCTCCAAAGAGCAGTGTCTGCGCCCCTGAGGAGAGAATCTCCAGGGAATCAGCTAGAAAATACTAGAATTTGTGTAGTTCATACAATAGAAGCTGTAATACTTAGCAGCTGGTCATGCTAACCTGAGCTCATCAGTGGATGGCCCAGTGTTGTAGACTGGTACAACAAGTACACTGAGGAGACTTTGAGAGTGTAACCCTCACCAGCCAACTCTCAGCATGCTGCAGAGGATGCTGCTTGTGGTGTTCCTGGTTAAACAGATTTGCAATGTATTTAGTTTCAACAATAACTTACAGAACGGGCAAGCAGCTTAAAATAAATTACCTTAGGGATAAACTACAGATTAAAGGGAATACTATAATGCAAATATAGGCAAACAAGACCAAGAAGGAGCTGACAATTCTTCAATTCCTACAGAAGAATAGAAATTCTCATTGCTATGATAAGCTCTGTCAGCTGCAGTAGCAGTAAAAACAATGACAATTTTCTCTGAGAAGGCATTAAGAAACGTTAAAATTGAGATCATTTGTACAATCAGATTGTATCCACTGTCAAGTATTAATGACTAGCAAAATATCCAAAACCAAGCTTCCAGTGCATGATACAAATCTTTATAACTTACAGCAAAAGTTTTTTTTGTGCCATTAAGAAATATCCACCCTTTTATTTTCAACTTTTGTTATGTGTTTTATAATATGATATGGTAGCATCATAGAATGTTGAGATGTCATCAAAAACTTTTTACTGAGAAGGTACATGATTTAAAACGTTAGAGACTATTGTTTTAAACTCCCATGTGCCTTTCTCAGCCTTTGTCTCAGAACATGATATTTAAGGAAATTTTATTGTGTAAGTCATTGGCTGTATTATGGGTCTTCGGATAGAATGGTTTGCTTTCTAAGAGGCAAAGGTCTATTGCTCAGCCATAAGAATGAAGTCTTGCCATTTGCAACAACATGGATGGGCCTGGAGGGTATGATGCTAAGTGAAATAAGCAAGACAGAAAAAGACAAATACCATATGATTTCACTTATACATAGAATCCAAAAAAACCCAGAACAAATGAACAAACAACAACAAAAAGGAACGAACCGGACTTATAAATACAGAAAATAAACTGGTGGTTGCCAAAGGTGGGGGAGCGGGTGTGTTGGGTGAAATGAGTGAGGAGGGTTAAAAGGTACAAATTTCTAGTTATAAAATAGGTCACAGGGAAGAAAAACACGGCGTTGGGAAAAGAGTCAACAGAGCTGTAATACAGTTATCTTGGTGGGCATCCTGTGTATAATTATTGGATCACTCTTTTGTACACCTAAATCTAATTTATTTTTAAATGCCAAGTACACTTCAATTAAAAATTTAAAACAAAATAAGGTCTAACGACAATTTGCTATAAAGATCATCTAAGGCCACCTGCCAGGTCTTCTCGTGCTTATAATTTGTAAGCTAATTCTCCTCACAAACAGCAACACTCAGAGATCTTTTTGAAGTGCCCACACAAATCTTAGGCAGGAATACCTGTGACATTAATGCCATCTGAACGTTGGCACCATACAGTTCGTTCATTATTGTTCCAAAGACTTGCTTTCCATGTGTAGTGATAACATTTGCCTCCTGCAAGTAAATATGATAACAGCGGTTCTATTACACCTCACGTAAAAATAGAATAAGCATTGATCATTCAAGGCTGAGAACTGAAAACTGCTCTTGGTACCTGCACAAGGGCGTGTTTCTAGAACCTGCTGAGGGCAGCTGTCTTGGTTCTCAAAAGACTGGACTATAAATGTCCTTGACCTAGACTGGCGGCCCATTGTCTCGAAGCTTCTTCCATTGACGCAGGTTAATTCACATGTGCTCCATTCTGACCATTCCATTAAGTGGCAGTCTCCTGGATGATTGTGCGGGACAGAGCAAGGAAAATAACATGAAAGCTGGCACTTGAAACATTTACACGGACAGGGTTGGTTCACAGTGAGCTATGGGTGGGTTGTACACACTATGCATTTGACCTTGACCAATTTTCCACTTAGAATACTAAGAATGATAATTTATGGTTTAATCTAGTTTAGCAAGAAAGTATCAAAAACCAGATTGCCATTACTTCACTTCAAATCATGGTGGTCTTATCTAGCGGACACCATGTGTCTTCTAGTAATAATAAACTTTTCACAACAGTAACTCAGTTTTCAAAGAGCCACATAATGTCACAAAATAGACATTCATAGAAACCATATAAAGGGGAAAAGTTGGTCTCTGAAGTGAAATATCTTTGAGTATAAAGAATGTTTATTAAATCTAAACATAATTTGTGTGTGTATACATACATATATATATACACACACACATACATATGTATGTATGTGTTTACACACATGTGGATTTATTCAGCCACCTTAAACTTAGGCCATACAAGCTAGGTTGGTTATTAGGATTAAAATCAACTCATATATTTGATGTAACTAATGACCTTCACAATTACAGAATGCTTTCATGAACCTACAGCCTTACTTGCTTCCACCACACCATCTTTCCAGTGTTCCTCAACTCAAGGATCCAGTCAGCATTTTTTGAGTGCTGGTCAGTGTGCTAGATACTGTCAGGTTAGGCATTATTAACATACTTTCTAGATAGAGCAACCATCGGTCCAAGGCACTAAACTCTACGTCCCTGATAAAACACCAGTGATGTGACAAAAATCTAACTTCATTCTTAAATTTCCAAGTCCAGTACTTTTTTGCCTCTTACCTACTTTGCCTCAATTGAAGCTGTAGGGATCTTCCAAAGTCATAACTTTATTAACTGTGGTTAATTCAAAATTTCAATTTCGATGAGAGCTTCTCCAGGAAAAAAAAATAGAAAATGAATTTAAAAAGCACCAGGGAAGTCCCTCCCAATCATTTAAAACCACATACCTGGGCAAGGCACAGAACATGGCTGTTTCAGGATGCTGTCTTGAAAAGGCATTTCTCCACACAGAGCATCATCTACACTTACAGCCGAGTGAGAGACTGAACCATTGTGGACCACGCAGGACAGGCTGCGGATCTGGACTCCTTCCCCACAGTCTCCACCCTGTTAAAGGAAAGGATACTGTCAGAATTACCCAGACAATTAGCATATCCCAGTTTCTCGGCTCTTGCCACCTCCTGGCCAAGAAAATCAGCAGCTTCCTCCTCTTGGGAGTTATCTTTCAAGTGTTGACGATAAAGCATCACTGAGCAGTTCTCCTAGAGCTGACAGAGAAGTTGAAATAGAAATGCAAATTTATTCCATGGAATTTATGTACTCAGAATATGACGATTCATTTTGGAATTTATGTACTCAGAATATGACGATTCGTTTTGGAATTTATGTACTCAGAATATGACGATTCGTTTGGAACCTTGGGTAACAGAATTGACTGAAAAAGAACAAACAAGACAAAATTTGTCTAGGTGTATATATTAAAATGGCCTAATCCATAATCACTCCCCGAGAGAGCATGTATAGCCACAGGGCATACATTTCTCTTTTACTTTGCTCGTTTTTCTTTGGTAGGGAATTCAGTCCTTTCTCATATGGATTAGGTTGGGGTTTCCAATAAAACACTGATTTTCTCTCTTGCCACAACAAGTTGTTTTCCCAGCCAGCCTTCTGTGTTGAATAATGTTTTCTTGAAGATACTTAATACAAATCCCACTCAGATTTTTCTGGAAAATTAGAAAAAAAATTGTGCAGTGTCTCACAGAAACAGAAACTTAGAACTGGAAAGGTCTTAGTGGTTATCTGACCTAACCGTCTGCCTGATGACAGGTTTCCTACTATAACGTTTTTGGCAGTTACTCATGAGTATTTTCTCCTCAGTTTTTGTCAGGGGTTCATACTTCAAAAAGAAGTCCACTGGATGTTTGGATAGCTTTGGATAGTAGCTCTGTTTTTCCATAAATACCTTAGAAAACAGAGCCAAAGCTAAGGAGGTAAAATCCCAAGAGTGAGGGTAAAGAACTACAGCAGGAATGGAGGGGAGCGCAAATACAAGGTCGTGTGTTACCAAGCTGGCCTCAACTTTGCAAGGAAGCCCAGCTGGTTTCTTGGACACCCATATCTTCCAGACAGGCCATGTGGTAACAGCATGCCTCAGGAGCATCCAAGATGGGGGAGGGAGGCAATCCCAGGCACTGTTAACTCCGCGAAACTTCTGAGGTGTGTTACTCAATTCCCACTAATGCCAGGAGTCAGTGGAAGAGCTAGGGTTTTCATGACTACTGCTCACATGGTGGCCGAGGGGGAGAGAGAAAGAGCTAGAGCGAGCCCCCATCTCTGTACCTGTGCTGCGGCAGTCAGCGATGCCATGTGCTCTAATCCAGTAACTCATTATTTGGTGGCAGTCTGGTAACTGTGCCCTGCACTGGGAAACCGGGTTTCATGTTCTTTTTATGCCCTCCCCAGTTTTATGCTGCAGGAGCCAGAAGCTGCCTCTCCAAGGCTTTGGGGCTAACAGAAGATGCAGCTGATTAGAGTTTTCTTTGACATGACCGGAAACAAGTCTCCATCAGGGATTCCTTTCAGAACCAAGACAGACAACAATATGCTCCTAGTAGGTATCCAGAGTCAACTTTACGCTCTTCTGTCCTTGACAACAGCAGCCAAAGATGAAGAGAAATCAGCATCCGAATGATAATCTCATTCATAAAGCAAGCATTCACTCTCATTCATGAAGCTTTACACATGAGAGACTGAAAACAGACCCAGGCTTCTTTGAGCAAGACTGTCAATAAGTGAGGATTCTTTCACCGACTCTCCGCTATCCGCATCATTAACGGATGTTTCGTATGCTCTGAACTGGCATCTCCACCAGATGTGGAGAGGCAGATGGTAATAATAATCATAATCATAGTTTTAATCAAAATTATAATAGCAACTACAATTTATTGAGCTCTTAATTTATGTCAGGTACTATGGTAAGTACTGTATTAAAACTGTGTAATCCCTACCAAAAGTTCCCAGAGAAACAGGTACTATTGCTACTCTCCTGATAGAGATTAAACAAACAAACAAACAAACAGACTTGTAGAGCTTACAGCCTTGGCAAAATTTGCAGAGCTAGGAACTGACAGAACCTTGACCAAAATGAAGCCTGCTAGACTTAGGAGTCTGAGCTCCTAAAACAGATTCATCAGTATATGTGTGGATACATGTGTTATCAACTGAGGACTCTGGAAAGAAAAAGAAAACACTAAAAAAAGTGAAGCCTGACGATGAACGCTTCCTTGTGCTAATCTCTTTCCATGTAAGATTGTGGCCGAACTGGCACATCCGCTGAGCCCTGTGTTAGCGCCTCTGATGGTTTGATCCACTGGATGGCAGTGGGCCACTTGGACATCCCCACCACCCTCAGGGGATGAGTGCCCAATGTGTATCTGGCAGGCAAGGGCAGCCTGGACAAGGAGAAGCAGGAGTGCAGCTGAGAGACGGGATCTTCCCTTGTGTGCAGAGGCCTACAGGCATTTTGGTCAGTAATTCCAAACTCTGCTGACATACACATCGAAGAAAAAGCCACGTGCTAAAAAGATACTGGGTTTAGCAGGATACCACCTGCTAAAAAGATATCTGTCTCACAAGGAGTTCACAGATAGGCTTCAAGAAAAGCTGAAATGCAGCTTGAACTCAGGCATTCATCATGCTTCCCTTTCTCTTTTGCCTCTTCTTTTCTGTGTCACCCTCTTTATTTCTTCTTGCTTCTGAGATACTTAATTTATCTACAAGGCAGGAAAATGTGGCAGGTAAGAGTCCTGAATACACTGTCTTTGAACAGCTTCAGTTCCATTCCAAATTCTTAGGGAAGAAGGCTGACTGGCCCTGTTTGGGTAAGGTGTCCACCCTGGAACAATTAACTACAGATGTGTTTTTCAAGAGCTTTCCCTGGATTAAATGAACTGCAGAGTTTCTTCCTGGCTGGAGGTGCCAGTGAACAAGAAGCAGCTCATCTAGAAATCAGAAGCAGCTCTGAAATTTCTGGATGCACTTGCTGCTAGGGTCTCCCAGGGCCTCCGAGCCTGGGTATCTCCAATGGATGCTACGACCCCCAGCCCCGACTGGCAATTCTAAAGAAAATGTTCACAACCCACCACTCTTGCTCCCATGGCTCTGGCAAAAGCGCAGTATGTGACAGCAACATGAAACACTCTATTTGGCATTTCCCCATAATGTTCCCATGGGACAAGTGGGCAGATTTGTGTGTTAAAAAAAAAAAAAATGGCTCCTGACACCCGAGAAGATAAAAAGGGAAGATACGAAAGAACAAGTAAGGTAGAGTAGTGGTTGTATGCCTGGCGAGACTTGGAGCAGGGGGTTTATCAGGCCTCCACCCTTCTCTCCCGCCCTTCTTTTTTCTCCCTTCCCCTGCAATGGGTCCCTGAATTCTTTGAGTTTATTTCCTCTACTCTGTCAACAGTCATCACTGCGCTATGGAAGAACATTCCTTCCATTTCCTTACTGGGATTCCAAGCAGGATTTACAAATTGCTCAAGATTTAGGAAAGAAGATTTTCGACTAGTGGACAAAGTATTCATACTTAAAGCCATTAGGTTACTATTGAATTAATGAGCATGGTTATCTTATTTTCTGTAAAAAGGAGACTGAACAAATGTACCACACATTTTTGTTCCTCTGGGACTTATTAAAATACATGGGCATTTAAGTCTGCAAGATAGTAATGCTGCATGGCAATGTCATCCTGACAAGAACACTAAACATCTCTGTGAGAATACTCTGCAGATTTCTTAACGCATAATCACAATTATTGTTACCTAATTAAAATATGCTTTGGAATATGAACTGAAGAATAAACTAGTAAAATAAGAAAATAAAGAAAATCAATGTGCTTTTTCTTACACAAGAAACCACAGAGAAAATGCAGCAGAGGATCTTTGCTGATCCGGCAAAAGCTCTGGGTATGTGATATATGATGATGTTGCTAGGCATTTATATTTCAGGTCAATAAAAAAGTAATCATTGAGGAAAATGTAGTAGCCTTGGTTTGTGTAATAATGTTAAAATATAACTTTCCTACACTTTTGGTGTTCTGCCCATATGCAAGATTTTGTCTAAGCCTGCAAGTGCCTCTTTAAGAAATAGAGTCCACGGCAAGCTGTTCATTTCCATCGCATCAGGGTTTTGCCTAATTAAATAATACTTTGATATTTTCACCAAGCCTAGAACATAACACTGTATTCCGGAGAATGCCTAAGAGAATGAAAGTCCCATGACCCTGTTAGAATCAGTGCCTAATGAATTGCTATTTTCCCAGCAACACCACTTGGCATGAGGTTAAGTCATTTGGTTGTAGTTCTGCGTGTGCTCTATTGCATAAAAATACATTGTGCCAGACCCCTGGTGCCGTGAAATTTATTCCATCAGCACATAGGTTGACCAGACAAAGCTTTAGACATACTAAGAAGCATTTCCTTAAGTATTATCGCGTGACCTACCTCCAATTTACATGCGGACCAGTTGCCGAGGACCCAGCTGTAACAGGGTGTCACTGGGCAGGTTTTCTGCTGGGTCAGCTCTGTGGGACACGGTCGTCCTTCTCCTTGGGTTGGCATAATGATAAATCGAGTCCGGCTCATTCGACCTAAAATGATAAGGAAGGTGTTGGCTTTTGGTTTACAGGCTGGCTTAGTAAGGGAATTAAAAACCAGAATGTTGCCTTACATACAGTCTTCATTAAAATATGCTGAACTTTGTCACGTCTTGCTCTCAGCTTTTCTGCCATTTTAAGTTAGGTTTCTATGGACATGCAGTTATATAAGGTCTGCATAATGCTTAAGGTTTTGGAATTCTGTCTGCCTTCTACTTCTTTCGTCTTCCTAACTCCAAACTCTGTATTGTTGCCCAAATAGACTGATACTGTAAACATCGGGGGAATGCTAATTAATTCAACAAATATTAAGCTCCAAGATGATCCAGGCATCTTGCCATGTGCTAGGGATACAGGGATGAAATTTCCAGATGCAGCTTTTGCCCTCACAGACCTTGTATTTTAGGCCAAAATTAAAAATATTCAAAATAGAGTTGCATCTTTCTTGTGAGGTTCTAAATTAGCAAGTAGGGTAAAAATTGTACCCAACCCAAATTACCCTAGAAAATTCCTTAGGAAGGTGCCACCACAAGGTCTCCAGACTCTTTCAATTAATTCAATATGGACAATGGTCCTACAGTTTAGGGCCAAATTCCTTTTTCACTGAACACAAGATGAAGTTGTTGGCTTGTGTGAAGGAACCCGGATGTTTGAAAAAAACATGTTCAAATACTGGTATTCCAATTCATAAAAAAAAAAAAAAAAGGCAGTTGGTTAATAGGAATAGCAAAGGAAAGAGCAGGGTTCCCATGTCATTTTATGCCCACTCATAGGCAGCAGGTCAGAAACCTATTAAAGGGGAATAGTGGACAGAATTTAAATGTCTGTGTTTCTCTCTTGCTCTCTCCCCCACTCACTCCTGTCTTAATCTTTGTTGATGAGATACTATGTGCAAGTAGTTTCATTACTATTGTCTGTGAATATAATGTCCTTCCACTGTTGTTATAAAGTTAACTATGTAATTGTATTTGTGATAAAAAAGAAAAACAGAGGGTTCCATGAGAGCATGTTATGGGGACATATGCCAGTCTGGGAGGCAATCACAACATTTCTGTGAGCAGCTGACCTTTGAGCAGAAATCTGAAAAAGTCAGCCAGACAGGATATACAGAACGTGAAGAAAGGGCATATGAAGAAGTCCTGAGATGCAAAGGAGCAAGCCACATTTGAGGAACTGACAGGAGGGCAACGTGGCCCAGAGGAATATTAGGTTGAGGTAGTGCTATTAAAGCTATTTAAAGTGCGGTCCTTTAGTTGATGTCAAAATTCTAGATTTATATGTTAAGAAAAATGGAAAGCTAGGGAGGACCTCGACACAGAATTCACTTGGAAGCCCTGGGTCGGAATAATTCTCAGATGCCCTCAAGTTCAGGGACAAGTAAGCATGACTCACCTCTCAGTGGACTAGACCTCTTACTGGCTACCAGAAGATTATAGATTTTGTGGTAAACTAATTCCCTCTGAGAAAACCTTTGAGGAAAAAGTTTTGTTTTTTTTTTTTAAATTAATTTAGGCTCCAGGCCCAATGTGGAACCCAACATGGAGCTTGAACTTACCACCCTGTGATTGAGACCTGAGCCAGTATCAAGAGTCAAAAGCTTAACCGACTAAGCCACCCAGGCGCCCCTAGGAGGTTCCAATTACTGCATTCTTCATCCTTGAGGTTTAGGCTTCTGTCCCTAACATGGTGCTTCACATATATTAAACACTAACTGAATATCTGTTTAATTCATATTTTCATACATTGTCTACATGATATGTGGTATCTGAAAATGTGTGATGATATAGCAATACAATTATTGAGCAGGTACCAAATACTAAGGTAATATTCTAAATACTTAAATGCTGAAGAATAATAACCCTAAAGGAAAATTCTTCACATACTCTGGATAAGGAAAATGAGGGAGACTTTAACTCACTTGTCTATGGTCAAAAAAACTAGTAAGTCGCAAAACAGGATTCAAACTCAGTTTTTCTCCAGAGGCTGCTGTGTTAGCCCTGAGTTGAGAGAGCAAGGATAGCTACTTACCACGTTCTTTTATGGGAAGGTAAAATTTTGAGTCAAAAATGACACATGCTTGGTAAACAACAGAAGCGACCCATTCTTCTTGGGTAGAGTTCCTATGAAGACCATGTGTTTTTGATGTTCTACCCAGCATCACTCAAATCATACCAGTTGGACATCATTCATATGAAATGTTGTCCCTGTTTGGTGAATACATTTGGTTTAAGATTTTACATTAATTCTTGCTTAAATACTCATCAGTTTTATTATAATCTTTATGTTTGTTCTCTTAACCTAAATAGCTATTACCCTAAATGTCATTATAATTGCTTTCTATTCTATCCATCACTGTAAGAATAGTAATAATACAGTGTTGCTTTTATCACAGTTAAAGAGGCTATATTTCATTATAACCAAATAATTTCAAGTTTGTTCTTGAATTGATGGCATGCAGATGGCCATTACTTTAGAACTATTTTAGTTATTTCTATTAAAGTGACAGATATCTTTGGCTGGACATAGAGGTGGGGGGAACCTAATGTATTCAACAGAAAAAAAATGATGCTATTACTTTTTGAAATAATGAAGGTCTTAAAATCATTCATTGAAAGCACAGCCATATGTCTTCTCTGCCTTTTGCTATCCTAACACAAAAATAAGGTTTTCAAACAATGCCGATTACTACCAAGAACACATATTTAAAACCAAGGAGCTTAGGGTGCCTGGGTGGCTCAGATGGTTAAGCGTCTGGCTTCGGCTCAGGTCATGATCCCAGGGTCCTGGGATCGAGTCCCACATCAGGCTCCCTGATCCTTGGGGGCCTGCTTCTCTCTCTCTCTGTCTGCTTCTCATGAATAAATAAATAAAATCTTAAAAAAAAATAAAAAAATAAAACCAAGGAGCTTATAATAATCCTACATTTTGAAGCGTATTGCCACGTTTAAGTGGCTAATATTAAAGTTCAATGACAAAAATTTTGCTAATGAAGGCATGAGTATGTAAAAGGTTTCTGTGAGGGTACTTGATATCTTTTGAGTTTCTTTTTTATTATTATTATTTTATTTGTCAGAGAGAGAGAGAGCGCACAGGCAGGGGGAGCAGCTGGCAGAGGGAGACGCAGGCTCCCCACTGAGCAAGGAGGCAGACCTCTATTTCACGACCCCAAGATCATGACCTGATCATGAGCTGAAGTCAGCCACTTAACCAACTGAGCCACCTAGGCACCCCTCTTTTTTCTCTTAAGTCAGGGATATTTGGGTTGTATTAAATTAAATAATCAGAGAAAGCACCCCCGAAATTAAGCACTCTTTCACAAATCCTGCAGTTGTAAATATTAAATCTAGCTGCATGGAATACAGATGGTATCAATAAGGAGGCCTACCATCTCCAATGGTAGTGGTCTAAAATTGCTTGGGATTCCAAACATAAGACGGGATGGAATATCCAACCAAGCAATCTCTCTCAACACTGATGATTCTAAAAGGAACCCTTAAAATCGGGAGCCTAAAGAAATTGTTTTGGTGATAGTGAATTTTCTGGTTGGGGGGAAAGCAGTGTAAAATGTGGCCAAATTAAAGATATTTAAAGTTACAATGTGATAGAGAATATAAGAGAAAGAGAATTAAAAAAAAAAAATAGCTGATGTATGGTGAAAAGAAACCTGGACTTGGCATCAAAATTCTCTAGTTGGAAACAGTTCTCTCAATTTGACAGCTCGTAAATGATGTGACTACATGGAAGTATTTTAACTCCTCTGAACATGAATTTCCTCTTCTGTAAAATAAAGTATACAGAAAGTTCTTCCTATCTGAGAATAATTCACGCTGGGGAAAATGCCACTTAACGATCCATCTGTTGCAATGGGAATTAAATTATTTTTAATAAAGTCTAAATGGGACTTTTTCTGGAACTAAAAAGTATGCAAGTGAGTTTACTTGATCTAATATCAACTACCATCTAGATGACAGTTGCAACAATATAATCATTAGGACAAATAATTAGCTATTAATATTTCTTATGTAATTTTATGATTACCCTATAAAAGATCCATTGTTTCATGACTGGCTTTTGCAGTTTGATCATCAGAGTCTTTGGCCTTCGACTCCCTTTTCATCAAGTTTCTCAAGAGCTCCCTTTAATCTTTGGTGTACAAACCGTTCCTTTTTGTATCCCTTTGTTTTGGGTACGTACTCTATTTGCAGCTAGAGACTGACCAGCAAATACTCTGATGAAATGACAGAACATGTGTCAGTGGAGAAAGGTTGTTGGTTGGGGGATGGTTTCATAAATGGTCAGTTCACTAGTGAATATTTTGATATTATAAAGACTTTGGCTTCCTTCAGAACTCAAAATTATGCCGACTCAGGTGAAAAGTACTGAAATGATGAGGATTCCTTAGGGTCATCTCACATGGGTTATATAATTAAAAAATACCATATATAAACCACTTTATCAGTATATCTAAAATATAGCAGGTGGTTGTTAAAACTTCTTTTATTCGCCATTTATTTTAACAACTGCTATTTCATATCTATTTCTAGAACTGGTGTTGACTGCTTCTACTGGTATTCTACTAGGCTTATGATATGAAATGCATACAACTATGAAATCCCTAATGATTCTGCCTGGTCCCAACCCACCAAACCTCTTACACCGCAGCTTGGATTCCTTCTGCCCTCAGAGTAAGAGTGAAGATTGCTACCATGCATATCCCGATGCTTCCAATCTGAAAATGGGGGCATTTTCTTGGACATTCTGTCTGGATTCCTCTTGTTTGGGTTTATGTTTTTCAGTAAAAGATAGAGGACTAGGGCTCTATTTGGAAACTGAATTCAATAGTAGCTATAGATAAGATGTTTAACAAGCAATGCCAATGAGATGTAAAAACAAAAATCGACTGTGTTCATCTACACTTCAGGCTATAAAAGATAGAAAAGCACTCCCTTACAAAATATGTTTCCGATTTAATAAAGACCCAAATTACAGTAGGG